ATTAACTGCACTGAATATCAACATCTGCTACTAGAGATTGATCCAATCAGCAGCTGACTTAAATAAGCAGAAGAGCCAAGGTGAGATTTGCTGTGAATTTGGATGCATGATTTTTGAAATCATTAGAGATGCTTCAAATATCAACAATTACTGGATTTTGAAGCGGCAGGGTGATCAGCCATTTTACTGAATTGGACAAATTGCTCCAGCAGGGCATTTTAGAACCTGTAGATTCCAGTCCTTGGGAGACCCCAATAGTAACGCCTCTTAAGGCTAAGGGAGACATATGCATTTGTGCAGATTACAAGTGCACACTGAATAAGGCATTACAGCAACATGCTTATCTAGTACCGGTAGTGAGTCACATCCCTTGGTCTAGGGTACATATAGATTACACTGGGCCCTTTCAGGAGCAATTCTTCCTAGTTGTTGTTGATAGCCATTCCAGGTGGCTAGAGGTTGTTCCTATGACCTCCACTACTATTGCCAAGACTATCCAGGTGCTGAAAGGTATTTTTGCTGCTCATGGCCTTCCAGATATTCTGGTTTCAGATAACGGTCCTCAATTCACTTCTGAGTTCCAGGCTTTTCTTCAGGCCAACTTGATCCACCACACAACTTCAGCTCCCTTCCACCCTTCCACCAACGGGATGGCTGAGCGTATGGTGCGCACCACCAAGGATACCCTCAAGAGACTGACTTATGGTGACTGGCATCACAGGTTAGCAAACTTTCTTCTTGCACATTGCACCACACCTTGCACTGCCACCGGAAAGAGCCCTGCTGAACTTTGCTGGGGTCGCAGGCTCATCACTAAACTGGACAGACTGCACCCAGACTGGGTGGTGTCTCAAGGGTCGCATCCTCGGGCACTGAGGAGCCTGCAAGTAGGTGCCCCAGTTTGGACTTGGAACTACGGGCCAGGTTATCCATGGGTACCAGCTGTCATCTGCAAGGCCTCTGGGCCTCTGTCCTATGAAGTGTCCTTGGAAGACGGCCACATTCTTCAGCGGCACATAGATCAGCTGCGTGTGAGGCTGGATTTACACCCTTCTACTCCTGGTTCTGCACTGGGGGGGAAGGTTATAGAGTGCATTCTGAGGATCAATGTCAGCAGCCATTACTGGCGACTGAGGAGATCATTGATCCCCCATCTCAAGATTCTGCAAATGCTCCGAACAGGAAGTCATGGGGCAGAGAATTACTCCATACACCCATGTGTACTCCAGCCAGGGAGTCACCCCGGGGGCATCCACATATTTCACCCAGAACCAGTAACACTCCAGACAGGGAGACTGACTGGGGGTATCCACATAACTCACATAATGCGCAAGAACTGACAACACAACAAGGGAGCAGGCTCAATTCTGCAATTGCTTCCAGAAGGAGGTCCTCTGTAAGGGGGGCAAACAGAGAGGCTACTCATGACTCTGGCACCACTGTCACCACATTGGGGTCCACGGGATACTGGAGGAATGTAGCCACCCCTGACTATCCATTGCCTGGCATGGCATCAGAGGGACAGTGCTCCCAAGAAGGGTCCATTGTGGATCTGGGGACTACCACCCTTCCAAGGGATGTTGGTGTGTGTGTAGAGGGCTCAGCCAATCTGCAGAGAGGCAGATCAACCAGGTACTGGGGCCAGCCAAGCCCTGACCTACTGAGCCTGGCAGGTGAGCAGGTAGGTCAGGCAACAACACCAGGGTCTCCTGAAGCAAGTGGGCAGCAATGTCCTGGCTCGCCTAACTTAGTGGGCAAAGGAAGGGACCTAGGTAACTCTCCCAGTCCAAGGAGGTCACAAAGGGCCAAGTGCCCCGCCCAAAATCTTTCAGACTTTGTAAAATTGCTATCCAGCTACAAGGGGTACTATCCTTAAGAAATTTTTGTAATGTTGTGTTTTGTTTTGCTTATGATTTTAAGTGTATTGTGGTAAGAAAAACAAGAATAGGAAGTTGTGGGTGGTGGCAACATGAAGGAAGTCCTCCCATGTTTGGATGTCAGGATTGTTCCAAACTAGGGGGGAGGGGTGTTGTGTCCGGAGCCTGCAAATGCAGGCTCGGGATGTTGCAAGAGTCCCGGGCTTTGCAAAAGCTGCCCGGGACCAGACTGAGTGGTGCCGGCTTTGAGCGTGTGCACAAGGCACTAAAAGTGCCTGATTATGTAGCCATGTTGTCCAGGGATCTGGGCATATAAAAGGAGGCCTGTGTGCCTCTGCTCATGTTGGAGTTTTGGCTGAAGCACAATAAAGAGAGTTCTATAGAAGATGTGTCCTCTTTCTTCGCCTTCGCTTCAAGGACTTAACACTACCTATTCTCCCTGAATTACTATTTCCTCAAGCAGCTCAAGGTGGTTTATAGTCAGTCCTTTCTCCAATTTGTACATCATTTTGTAGTTGCATGACCCACAACTGAGAGTGTATACCACCGCTCTTTATTAGTTTGGCTATTACTGGAATGATGACAAATCACTAACCAGCACTGAACTAGAAGTAATGCTATTGTACTGTATTTCTTAAAGTGTCATCCAAGACCCTCATAGCGGTCCACAAAATCTAAATTATTTGCTAGTTATTGAAGATATTTGCAAAAATGTAAAACAATGTCCCTCTTCTCAATGTTATTTCTATTTGTTTAAATTATAGAATCATGAAAAATATTTATATTAATATATTTTACATGATTCAATAAATATTCTAGGAATCTGTAAGTTTTAATTCTCAATATGATAAATATTGATAAATATAACCCAATCAAAAATAATCAAAAGCTCTTTTGGGGTCATCCATAATTTTTTTAAATGGGAAGGGATCCTGGGAGAAAGAAGTTTATTAAATGATTTAGTGACTGTACAAAACATTCGGGATCCTATTTCTCTATATTAAACACCTTCACTAGGTAAGATTGTATAAATTGTACTTTTACATAAGATCATGTGACTGCTTCAAGTTAGCATGTGTGCATCCCCATCTTCTTCTCTTCATTGGCCAACAGTAAATAGCCATCACTTTCCCCAGCATTACAGCTGGATAATTTACAGTCATACTGAGTGTTTTATAGAGATATTTCAGGAAAATGATTTACCATGATCCACCTAATCTGAAGGAAAATCAATTATCCACAAGTGAAAGCTTTAAAATAAAAATAACTGATTCATCAATATGTATAGCTATTTAAAAACATATATTTAATTTTTTTTTAAAGTAAGCCTGACATTCAAAGTGCTTTCACTATATACTGGAATCAGTGTCCCTGAGAAAATAAAAGTATGTAAGTGGTTTATATATAAATCCCACTTATTTTACAAGTACTGTACATATTTGAACAAGTTTACATCCAGAATAGGTATTCAGCTTCCATACTCCTGCTTAAAAGTTAGATTCATTCCCTAAGAGGGTCCTCTGGGTAACTATTAATAGTCCTGATTCAAGGGAAAAATAGCTTATGTTTCATTTCTTTAAAATAAAAAATAATTATTTTAGAATACAGACAAACTATTTAAGTTATACATTTGTAGTATCCCCCTCATGACATAAGTGATTTATACACATTCTCTCTCTCTCTCTCTCTCTCTCTCTCTCTCTCTCTCTCTCTCTCTCTCTCACACACACACACACACACACACACACACACACACACCCTGACACACACTCCTTAGCCAGAGTTCAAACGCTTGTATTAGTCTTAAAAAAAATTTTTTTTTTGATAGACAAGTGAGAATATTTGCAGCAGCAAAAGTTGGAACTAGAAAAGTAGGGGCAAAGTAGGAGAAAGGGAGAGTAAAGATACAGGACAGATTTTTTTTTTAAAAAATAGGAATGTTTAAACAAGTTTCCTAAGCTGACATGTTTGGCAGGTTCCACACAGATAAGCAGGAAACTATTCCAGCCCATATTTCAATTGCACAATTTTGCAGGACACATTCTGATTTTAAAGACAAAGCAATTGATAAATCACTTTTTTCTTTCAAAAAGAAAAAAGCATTAAGCAAAGTAGTGCAAGTTCATTTTGTATAAGCAAAATAATGTTTAGAAAACAAGTTTCCTTTTTCATTAGAAAAGGTTATTAGGATAGTGCATTAATATGATTGTTCACATAGCAATAGGTTAAACTTCAAGCAATGTAGTTAAAGCATCTAGGCTGATGGGAAAATCATAAATATCTGTATCAAGAGCAAAGTATTGGATTTACTTCCAAGTAAAACATGAGTGCAAGTAAACAAGAGTACATTACTTCCAAATAAAACGTGAGTCCCCTAAAGCACAATTTAAAACTGCTTGGTATGGGATTGAAAAACTGTTCAAACACTTGGATCAGCATCAATGTCAACCTTTTTAATGAATTCATGAGCCACAAATTTCAGGAATTTGGCAGCTTACAAGGTTTTATTAGCCTTATGCTGAATCTTACAAGTTATTTTCTTTCCATGATTAATTTTTGTTATTAGCTATTTTCAATCAAGGTAGGAAGAAAGGTGCACTGTACAAATAATTCAAGAACTAGATGAATAAACACAATTTGGTTCTCCGTGGACAAGCTTCATAACACACATTTAAACTATTTTAACTTTATGCTTTCCTGTGTAGGATAACGTTTTGCTTTTTCATGGAGCTACTGAAGCAACTAAAATTAAAACTCTCTGGGAGAGCCAGAAATCAGTCTAAAGAATTTCTCATATCCATGTATTCATCATAAATTAATATATTGTTTTTATATCCCATTATTATTATTATTATTGGTATACATGCTACCTGGCAAGGAAATGTAGCATTTAGAATATTCCACTATATAATTAGGTAAGATGGCACTTTCAAGTGTGATGAATTACTAACCACAAACAACATTCTATTCCACTCAGACATAGAAAATAGTCACATAAGAGACAATGCTTCCAAGATGTACACCTCCTGACAACAAGGGACTAATTCCTTTGACTTTTTCATGCAAATTCACTTGATTTGCAGTTCCTCAAATCAAGAACTATGGACAAAATTAGATGCCAATATTCACACTTCTCTTTTAATGAAGTGGTGTGTGTGTATGCGTGTGAATAACATTCAGATACATATTAAGAAAAATGCATGTGCGTGTATGTGTAAATGAGAATAAGTATATACATTGTGTATAATACATTCTGCAATGTGTATTACATAGAATATTAGATAGAATTCCACTGTATTAAATGGAATTTGATTGGATTAATTCTATTGTATTAGATAGAATAGTTTTAAGAGAAAAAAGTAAACAAAATAAACTGTATAGGTGCAACACGCAGGTATGGTATCTCATCTGATCTGCAGTTGTCAATGTAATTGAAAGTGCATCAAGATGAAATATCCCATAATGGCTTCCATATTTCTGAATACATATGAGAAACTTAGCTTAAACAGTCACGTCCACATGTGACCATCCAGCATTTAGCTTCTTCTCCACCTGAACAATGGAGCCTACAAACAAAACTCACCCTTTATTCAGAATTGCTGGGTGACCACCAGTCTCCCAATTAGTAGGCATAACTCAAATGTTCAAGACTTCCTTTCAGAATTGAAAACACTGCATGCATGCATGTTTGTTATTGCAAAATCAATTGATAAAAGCATGCCTGCTTGAATGAACTGTCATAGATCAAATGTCACATATAAAAACTGCCAGATCACATTCACCCTATTTTTTGGAGAGCTAGTTCACACAAGCCAGCTGCCAAGTTTCTGCTCTGAGTAATTAAGCAATGAATCATCTTCAAAGAATGTCATACAAGCATCATCTTTAGCTCTATGCTTCCTGCTTTCCTCACTTCTACCCAAGGCATTCTGGAACATTTTCAAGTAGAAGAACTTGCTTTGGTTACCTTGGTGATAAACTAAAGCTAAAAATTACACATAATTGTTGCTGATGTCACTGTTCTCACATTGTTTCCAAGGCAACAAAGTACTTCCTTTAATGATGATGTTTTATTTTTTCCTCTCTATTGGAAGGCTTTCCCCCGAAATGGTTTAGAAGAGCAGAAATCTATCTAGGTTGAGTTTAGCTAATAAGGTATTCATAACATTTCAACCATCATTAGTAAGGATAAGATATAAATGAGATAGTAAGGATGAGATATAAGCTGTGCTTCCCAAACATACAGAACTATTTGTTTCCCTGATCATTTAGGTTTCATCCCACCCTCTCACAGTTTTATAGTCCTAGCAATTTATTTCAAGAAACTGAAAGAGTAGAATAAAAATGATAAACTGCAAAAACTGCATCTATTGATATCAAAGAAAATGTTGGAGCAAGGGGAGGAATAGGAGAGTAATGGGACGTAACTAAAAAAAAAATACTGTCCCTGCATGTGTTAATGTATGCTTAAGACCATATTTAAAGAAAGACATAAACAATTGTGGCTAGAAAAATCCATTCTGCCCCGTTCAGTTTAATTCGGTGGAAGGAAGACACCAGACAAAATTATCATAATCAATAGATCTAGTTTAGGACTTTTGATGAGATCAGACAGTTGGGATTTGGGGATGGGGAGCCATGGATATGTTTTCCTCTTATGCTGCTATAAGTTTATGAGACTCAGAAAAGTTTTAGGGCCAGGGAGCAATGTTGGACTCCTGGATACCACTGTACAGATACTGCATTACAGCAAAGATCAGATCTAATTTTAAGCCTACTTTTTAAATCTATTTAAATCTAAGTCTACCTTTCTTTCTATCCCCAATGATGCCATGAGGTCACTTCCCATGAGAAAGGGGCCCAGAACAGTTTCATTCTGCCTCCTAGTGGTGAGGGCCATCAATCCCACAAAGCAGCCAATGCAGAGCCAATCTATCTTAAGGCTGGCAATAGCAGCTGCCTGTACGTCACCTCTCAGGATGTTAGATGTGTCCTTCACCACTTGGCTGCACGCATACTGCAAGGGCCTGACCTTGTCGGCAGACTATGTTTCACTAGAGCAAAACAAATTTGTGGTTACTGTATCGTAGCAGCTTGTACTTATTTATAGAATGGCTTCTGAACAGTAATAATTTATGTAGGAATTGGCTGGCTGAAGTATCATGAGGATACATAAGGTAGAAAAAGGACTACATATGGATTCACAGATCAATTCCAGCAGATAACTCAGCTCCTGTTTAAAACTGTGAATCTATGAGTGGCAAGAGCCATTTTATATATGATGCTTCCCTGAGAGTCTAGATCTCACTGCATTTGATTCAGGGAGGCCATAAGAAAGATGGGCACACTCAGCTTTTTCTTAAACATTTTAGGAAGCAGCAGTTATGGTAACAACAGAAAGAAACAAGACAGAATTTACCTTATCTGCTTTGGAAAAGTGCCACATTAAAAAAAGAGACAGATAGGGGAAGCACCAATTAAGTAATGTTTTTTTCTAGGCATCTAACAGCAAGGTCATTACTACTACTGCTAATTTCAGTATGAAATTATCATGGACTAAATGAAGGGTCAATCTAGTTTATCAAAATCTACTCCAATTAGCAACTCTCCTGGGTTATGGCAGCATCCATACAAGTCCTATTATTATTATTATTACTGTAGAAAACACTTGAATCAGGAGATGACAGGGACTGAAATTGGATCAGCACAGAGATCTAAAGATCAATCCAAAATGAACCTAGATTTCTCCCTTAAGGCACAAATGGCCAAACTCAAATTATCCTACTTTGGATACATTATGACAGACTTAATCCTCTGGAGGAGAAGGCCTTGATGCTGGGACAGGTGGAAAGAAAGAGAGGGACAGTCAGCAGCAAGGGAATGGACTTAGTTACAGTGATGATGGATACATTGTTGGAAGATCTGAAAGAACAGACTAGGGACAAATTGTCATAAAGAAAATCTATCTATTGCAATTGGTCACAAGAAGTCTTAAAACAACTTGATGACACAAAATCAGTCAATGAATCACTCAAGATTCCTTGTCATCAGCCTCATGCTTTATGTTCAAGATGCTTTGCAAATTGTAGTGTTCATAGTATTTACTATCAGGATAGTGTAAAAGTGGAGGAGCACTTATAAAGGATTGACTATGCAGAACTGGGCAAGATAGTAGATCATTACCTGTACTACAGATTAAAAGAAAACAAGGATATGATCAGGGACCAGTCCTATATAGTGGAATAAATAAAGGTATCATTAGCTGAATGATATGTAGATGAGTACTGAGTCAACCATGATTAGTGAAGCAGGAAACATTAAGAAAGCAAAGAGGGTGGGATTCTAAGTGTCAGCTGCATCTGTCACACATTTCATACTATCATGAAAGAAATAGTGGGTGTTCAAAAACATTTTTGTCTCCGCAATGATTGACACATGCTGGAAAACTGCAGCATATGTCTTTAGGGAGCTAACTATGAGAGGAAAAAATAACAGTCAGATAAGACTCTATGTCTTTAGTTTTAGATCTTGTGGAATTCTCTTTTGCCTTGCAGCCCCCAACTAGGGGCATTAAGCAGGCTCAAGTCACTACTGCAAAACATTTACAAATCCAGATTTCTTTTTTTTTTTCTTGACAAAGAGTTAAAGAATTAAGTTGGGAGACTAATATGGCCATTTCGAGCTCATTCTGCTCTCATCAGTTAGCCACACCTTTTATGGGATTCGAACCTGGGCAGTTTACATACTAGGCAGTGATTTAATACACTAGGCAGTGTATTAAGCGGATCCGGACACCTATCGTCACAATCTCTAGCCCATCTATGTGACAAGGAACCTACAAGGGGAACAGAGAAGGAACAAGAAATAACCCCCCCTAGATACCCCAGATATACATCTTTTAACTTACCCCATGAAAAGGAAAAATAATGATGGGGGTGAACAACAAGGATGGCTGGACGACAACCCATGGGATACCCACTCCACGATCCCCGCTAACATGAGGGGAGAGACGAGTTATTCTACCAAAATGAACAAGAAAGCAAAACATAGATCAACGATGGAAAGTGATATCGTGGGACCTTGTACGCGCCCCAAAAAGGGCAAAAGAACTGACAAACGGTGAAGGAGGATTGAGAAACCCAACATGTGATCAAACAACAAAGAACCTCAAGAGGAGGGGGACAACTAGAAGTGGTACAGCAAACTCACGGACACCCGTAGAGGAAAGCAACGTCCTTGGCTGGAAGAACATATGCAGGAATGCAGCCACCAGAGATTGTGACGATAGGCGTCCGGATCCGCTTAATACACCTCTCCCCCGAATGTATACAAGCACAGTCTAACCAAGGAATGTCGGACAGACCCTGGAACAGAACTAGAAAGGATGACAGATGTGGGAGTAAGTGAGCAGAAACAGAGAGCGGTTAGATCCAGGAAAAAGGAAACAGCAACCTCGGAGGGCACTAACATAGTAAAGAACGTGGGCCGTTTAAGAAACCAGATAGAGAGAATTGATGGACCAGTAACTAGGTCAAGGGGCCGAGCGCAGAGCTACCCGGCAGCATAAGAAGGACTCCCAGCAATCTTGCATTACGCTCTGATGATGTCGGTATTGTTGACCGACGAAAGGCTTAGCTTTTATATGAAACAGTTTTGTTTTAGTACTATCCTGGTGTTCAGATTATTTTATGGTATGGATTTACCCAGGATTCGCATTTTTAGCATAATTATATATACAGTGTGTATATATATATATATATATATATATATATATATATATATATATATATGTAGGTCTTTGGTTGTTCGGGTTTTCTCCCGCGTAAAATTGGAAGTGTCTTGGCGACGTTTCGACGAAGTCCCATTCGTCATCTTCAGGCTGGTGCTTTCAGCTTCGTGCTTTGAGCAGCATATATATATGTTTTCTGAGGTTTTCGCGGGTATTTGAAGGTAGGTCTTTGGTTGTTTGGGTTTTCTCCCGCGTAAAATTGGAAGTGTCTTGGCGATGTTTTGACGAAGTCCCATTCGTCATCTTCAGGCTGGTGCTTTCAGCTTCGTGCTTTGAGCAGCAATGTGTGGTCTTAGCTGTTTATTCCTTTTAACTGCCAGTGGGGGTATGAACTGATTGGGTGGGAGCTTGGCTGTGTTCTGATTTGGTGGAGGTGTGTTCTGAATGGTTAGGGGCTTGGCTGTGCTCTGATTGGCTGGGGGAGTGTTCTGTTTGGTTGTGCTCAGGTTAGTCTGAGTTGCAGAGGGGTTTAAGATTTTGGGCTGCCTTGCTATTTTCTGGCTTCACGTTCGTGGTCGTGCCTCCTCTTCATGGAGGGTGTCAGTTTGCTTCATGTATGGATTGTAGGGGTTTAAAGTGGCTAATGATGCAGCACAAACCAGAAGCCAGACCACAGCTGCATCATCATTAGCCACTTTAAACCCCTCCAATCCATACATGAAGCAAACTGACACCCTCCATGAAGAGGAGGCACGACCACGAACGCGAAGCCAGAAAATAGCAAGGCAGCCCAAAATCTTAAACCCCTCTGCAACTCAGACTAACCTGAGCACAACCAAACAGAACAATCCCCCAGCCAATCAGAGCACAGCCAAGCCCCTAACCATTCAGAACACACCTCCACCCAATCAGAACACAGCCAAGCTCCCACCCAATCAGTTCATACCCCCACTGGCAGTTAAAGGGAATAAACAGCTAAGACCACACATTGCTGCTCAAAGCACGAAGCTGAAAGCACCAGCCTGAAGATGACGAATGGGACTTCTTCGAAACGTCGCCAAGACACTTCCAATTTTACGCGGGAGAAAACCCGAACAACCAAAGACCTACATATATATATATATATATATATTTGTTTTCTGAGGTTTGATGAAGTCCCACGTCATGTCCCACCCACGACGAAGTCCCACCCACGGGACTTCGTCGAAACGTCGCCAAGACACTTCCAATTTTATGCGGGAGAAAACCCGAACAACCAAAGACCTACATACAAACACCCGCGAAAACCTCAGAAAACAGCATATATATATATGCTCTCAGTTTATATTCTAGTGCAGGGGTCTTCAAACTTGGCCCTTTTATGACTTCTGGACTTCAACTCCCAGAATTCCTCAGCCAGTATGCCTGGCTGAGGAATTCTGGGAGTTGAAGTCCAGAAGTCATAAAAGGACCAAGTTTGAAGACCCCTGTTCTAGTGGCTTGCCCTGTCAGTGTTGGTGGGAGAGGTCCTAGAGGTTCTTTGGTTAGGCTGTTTACTGTTGGCTTGTTTGGTAGTTCCTTGATTGGGGTATTGTTTACTTGACTGTTGGTCTGATGTTAATCTTGGAGTTAATCTATGCCAGGGGTGTCAAACTGCCACCCCGCAGGCCAGATGCATCATCAGGAAACCACGCCCACCCCATTGCCGGCAATGGCAAAAAAGCTCCAATACATTGCGCAACGTCACGTGACGTTGCGAGTTTGACATGTCTGATCTATGCTGATCTGGGTGTTGATTAGTGGAGAGGTGCTTGGGTTTTTTTGTTCCCTTTTTGGCTGGTTGATTGTTTCTTTTGCACAGTCTATAGAGGTTTTTCAGGATAATGCAGATATTATTTTAGTAAAATAACACATACTTTATATTAAAGCTTATTTATTTATTATTTATTGCCTTTTAAAATTTCCTTGTTTTTAAACATAAGGTTTAATCCTGTTAATAAATGCAATAACTCTGGGGAACATTCAAATCTTTGGTAATAACACTTACCTTACTAAAACACTTACCTCATCAGAACATATAACTTAATCATATGACCAACACTATGAAAGGTTTTTACAGACACCATTTCCAATATTTGGAAGAATAATTATGATGTATATATATCCTAATCTGACTGAAACTGAGTGCCAGCAATGTATAATCTTCCACTGAAGTTCTTGTATCAAAGCTGAGGTGAATCCACCTGATATCTGCATTTTGTCTCCTATACAGTTTGTATCTCAAGCACATTAAGAGCTTAGCGATTTCTTCATGCAAGCATTGCTGTCCAATACAATTGGCAAACCTTAGCACACTTAAGAGTGGTCCTGGAACTCTTGCTGAAGGCCAACAAAATATGCAGCTTTAGTGCTGTACTCTTCCATCAGGTAAACCCTTGGAATGGTATGTGGGAGACAGGGAAAGAAAATACAGCTGAGGGACTGGTCAGATAAAAGGCAATAGGAACGTGGCTGGGGCAAGAATCTCAGAAAGAAAGTGCTCTAGTTTTGTGAGCTGTAAAGGGGATGGGGCGGGGAGGGCAGAAGTATACTTTCAGATTTGCCAGATTCTATTAATGTAACTTTACAGTACAGTAGAATTAGCTCATCTGGCAGTGCTTCTTGTGTGGTTCTGTTTGATGTTATTGTTTCAGGAATGATTATCTATTTATCTATCTATCTATCTATCTATCTATCTATCTATCTATCTATCTATCTATCTATCTATCTATCTGGAGCATGGTATCCATGAGGTTAGAACACTGAGCTGATGATGAGCAGACTTATGTTCGAGACCTATTGCTGCTGTGGGGCGTGTCTGTGTGTGTGTGAGCGCCTGTCATATGCTCCAGCTCCTGCCATCCCAGAGGTTCAAAAGTAGGCGACCATAAGTAAATAAATGGGTACCACTTTGGTGGGCACCTTCACGGGGACATGAAAGGAACCCCCAGCTGGGCATCTCCTGTGCAATGGTGATATCACTGATAAATCCTTTCGCCATGGAACCACTTCAGTGCCTCCGACACAGAAGTATTAGTATTAATATCTATCTCACAATTTATCACCCTGTGACATTATAATCAAGGATTGAACTTTCTCATTTTTAAGATCTAAACAAGTTTGGAATGTGTATTTATACTACCAGTAGAGCACTATCATTCTTGCTAAAGGATTTGAATTAATATCCTGCTGAAATTCAGGTGATCCTGTAGAACAAATTTCATCATTTCTGATCTTTTGCATTCTTGTACTCTGGATGACATATTGTTCTGGGAAATTAGTTGGAGAGAAACCATAGTACCATAGCTTATATAGCAATAAACAGGTAAAGTAGGCAATGTTCTTAGGTTGCACTAAGGAGGAAAACAGCATTTTTTTCTTCTTTTATGAACTAGCTTCATCTCAAATCATTTGCTCTCTGCTTATGGTTAGTTATAGTTATAAGTGATTTTCTTCTTAATTATATTCCTCCCCTCCCCCCCAAATCAGTTTTATGAATCAGGCAGATCCTTTCTCATCAAGACTAAGAATTTACTTTTCAATAAATACTCACATTCTCTTTCATCAAAATAGATTTTTGGCTAGCTCATAAATCTCCCAGATAAGGACCTCCAGTGCCTTCAGATAAAGATAAATCATACCAAGAAGACATTCAACCATGAAATGATTTTGTTAACATGTCATCTGTCTCTAGAATATATTTTCAAATGTTCAACAGAAGGATCTAAATTACAAAAAGAAAATAGTCCACCTAATGATGTTCATGGTGTGGCATCTGACTTTTAAAATCTCTTTCACTTGTATGTGTACAAATTGTAAAGTACTGTAAATTATAAGCATTAAGCCAAATCTTCCCTAATGTTGAAGAATTAATAGTTATTACACCATAATATTTTTTGAAAATGAAATAAATCTACATATACTTCAAATTATGCTTATCTGGTGCAAAGGATTACTTCATAATAATATTCTTTTAACTATATTACTGAAAAAGAGTGATGGCTGAGGAATAACAACAGCAACCACAACCATAATTTTATATTTTGTTGTATGGTGTTCTGTTATTTTAATATTGTAAGATATTTAGAGTCTGACAAGAAGGCAGTATATAAATCACTGTAATAAATAAAATGATCAGTCCAGACCTATTTAAAGTGCAAACCTTTTCCCACCCCAATTGTGCCTAATGCATTAATTGTTCTTAACTATATACCCCATGGGATAAGTGGCATTCTAACACACAATTGCAAGTCATCTAAAGAATATACATTTCCCCTTAAACAACCACAATTTAAGTTATATTATTACAAGTATTGCATCATGTTTTGCTAGGCTTAACAATTGTTATATATGTTATCCTTAGTATATTGTCATTTGTCTTTTTATATAAAGGATGATATAGTAAGGAATACACACACATATATATACACACATATATACATATACATACACACACATATATAATTTGTGTGTGTGTGTGTGTGTGTGTTAAAAAACACTAGGGAGTTATGGAATTTCAGTGTGATTATCTGGAATGTAATCTAATTGGATCTAGAGAAGAACATGCATCTTTACTGTACTTCCACACCCAAAATATACAGTAACAGAATTTAAATCTATGTGAAATTATGTAAAATTTTCTAAACTTAGTGAATTGAGAAAATTGTAATTTAAAACTCAATATGTGATACTTTTTAGGGCAACATTATAATCCATCTCAATATGATAATTATGAAATCAGTGTTATAAATCCAACAGTAGACCCAATTTTCAGTTACACAGAAGAGTTAATGAAAATCTCCACTGTGGGCATAAGTAAATAAATAATATACAAAGCACCATGCTCATTAGCTCTGATCCAATAACTGTATTCAGACATGATCTGATGATTACATACTAATTGTTTACTGTATCATAACAAAAACATGTCTTTAGGTGGCTCCATTCACACTTCCCCATTCTGTTCTCCGAAGCAGCCAAAGGGAAAAGCTTAGAAACTTAGAAACATTATTAATGGCAGCTTATTGTTTTCTCTAAACCAGACAAGTGGGGAGTTATCTTAACCATGGCTTAAACCAAGCAATTTTTAAACATGGACTATGGTGTTCGCTTGCTTTAATAAATCAGTTAAGATAAATTCTAGTTTATAGTACATTGATCAACTAATTCTAGTAGAATATAGAACAGAGTGGTCCTAATTGCTGATTTGTGGTAACACCATAAGACGAGGTGGGCGAGGAAGCATGAAAATCTGAGGCTTGTTTTTGACATGGTCATCTTAACTTCTGAATGCTCCTACAGATGCAGGGATTTTCATATGGCGTCAGTCAACAACTTCCAGTAAAACTGATGTTACTTTTTTCCCCCCCATGCTCCCCTAAATCTGTCCCCAAGGTCTCTTTGGGACGCATCTGTTCATCACTCTTATTGCGTGTCCTGAGCCTCACACAGTTCCCTATAAAGAACTGGACCTTGTTTCATCTGGGAAAGCATATATACCAAACCTCTGCAAGCTGTAAGAAGGGCGAAAATAAACATCACTTTCAACTACTGTTGCCCAAAAAAATGGCTTATAGAGGATACTGAAAACAAGGATTCCAGCTCCTTCTCTTAGGAGTGTCATTTAGAGTCCCTCAATTAGAAGGCAGTTCAGCCCAGTCAGCTAAAACAACCATGCAGAATTAATGAAGTCAAAATAATAGGGAAAAGGAAAAAGAACGCTCTGCAAAAATGAGTCAAGTACAACAAATCAATACTTCATAATGTTGTCTGTCCTGTTACTGAACTAAACTGACTTCATCTGCTTCCAGATAAATGCTGCTCAGTTCTGCACTCTGTAATAATAATTACAGCAATATACAAATGTCTTTTCGTGGACCTTCCATGGTGGCAAAAGAGTTCCAGTCAAGATTGGATCTCAGCACTGGCTACTCCTGCTCAAGGGCAAATGGAATTAATGTCATATCCATTGTTTGGCCCACAGTCAAAATGCTCCTTTTGAGCCCTTTCCATCTACTCAGATATTTGGGCTAACAGACAATTGCTATAGCAGAATGCATTTTTAACTTAATTTAGAAGTCAAACACACATACAAATTGTTACAGCAGTGAAGGTCAGGCTATTCCTAGGCAACTTTTAACTTCCTAAAAACCCAAGCTGTGGCAAATAACTAAGCCCTGCAATCCTGGCATCCTAGGAAGGGCTTTCTAGGAAAAGATATTGAGAAGACAGTCTTGTGGCGATTTCAGAGGACCCTGGAGGAAACAGCTTCATAGACAATTAATCTAGGCATGGCATAGGGCCTGGATGTCTGAGCAACTATCTGTCTGTGGCCACTCAGCTCATTCCATCAGAGTGGGTGCACTCCAAGTTCTATTTAACAATTGTGGCACCAAGAAAGCATGCCTTCTCTGTCATAGCCTCACCTCTAGAACAGAATCCTTCCCCAATATAGGGATAGTACCTTCTCTCCTGGGGTTCCAGGAAGCTCTTAAACTGCAGGTTAATCCATTTTTGAGGCACCTGTGGTTTCTTGCTGTGTTATGTTTCTTTTAGTCTGGACTGTTTGTGTTACATTTCAGTTGTGTTATGTTTCGATTAGATTTGCTGGGGTTTTTTGGGTTTTATATGCCACCCAGAGCTTCTTAGAGTTGGGTGCTACTACAAATTTAAATAAATAATAGTAGACCCTTTTCAGTCTGGCTTCAGACCAGGACACAGTACTGAGATAGCACTAATTGTGCTGGTTGATAAGCTCTTGGAAAGTCAAGATAGGATTGCGGCAGCCATCTTGGCTCTTCTTGATCCATTAGCACAGTGGTTCTCAACCTGTGGGTCGGGACCCCATTTGGGGTCGAACGACCATTTCATGGGGGTCGCCAAACAACGCAATCCGCCATTTTTTTCCCCTTTTCCTTAGCTGTGCTACCCCCTTTTATTCTATTGGCTTTTGAAAGCCAATAGAATAGACTCTCTTGAATAGAGTCTAATTCTATTGGCTTTCAAAAGCCAATAGGAATTGCCCAGGCTGTCTCTGCCCTGCTGAGCCCGCCAAAAGTCCCATTCTGCAAATGGTGCTGCACCAGTTGAGTAGTCCTCGACTTACAACCGGTTCAGTAGTCCTCGACTTACGACTGGTTGGGGTTCGCAGCATTAAAAAGGTTGAGAACCATTGCATTAGCAGCTTTCATTACTAATGATTCTGGGTTGCCTACAGCAGGGGTGTCAAACTGCTGGCCCGCGGGCCAGGCGCGTCACAATGAAACCACGCCCACCCTATTGCCGGCAATGGGGAAAAAGCTCCGATATGTTGCACGATGTCACATGACGTCACGAGTTTGACATGTCTGGCCTAAAGGAATTAAGAGGAGGAAGGCACCGCATTGGGCTGTTCTCCTCTTTTTTCAGTAGTCTGAAGTCACTGCTGATAGGTGGGAAAGACTGAACCCAAAGCTTTTGATTTGTGGAGTACCACAGAGCTTTTGCCTCTCCTGCTTAACCTCTACATGATGTGCTGATGCTGGGCCAGGCCATAATTACTTTGTGGTCATAGTATTATCACTATGCTGATTACACTCAGTTGTGGAACCTTGTCTGACCAAGCGAATCAAGTCAAGGCCTTGACCCAGAGCCTGAAGGCTGTAGGGGTGTGGATGCAGAGAAAAGACTCAGGCTAGGCCTTAACAAGCCCAGGTAGCTATGGGTATTTGGATCACTCAGTCCAAGACATTTTCTACCCTTAGTCTTGAATGGGGTTGCAGTACTCCTGTGGTCAGGAAAATCTTTGCATACATTCATTGTATGCCGCTTGAACCCATTCCTGGACCTTTGGGCAACCACTTACACCTTAGTTACCTCATGTGTAGACTATTGCATTGCTTTCTATATGGGGCTGCCTTTGAAAATCATTCAGAAGGTGCAACTAGCCAAAAAATGGCAGCATGGGCAACTATTACTGCAACTCCTGAATAGAATTTCTGGATACAATTCTAAGTGCTATTAATCAGCTATAAAGCCTTTCTTAGAATGGGGCGTAGCTATCTGAGGAATCATTTCTGTTTGTCCTGTAAGGTTTGATTGGCACTCTTTGAATCCCACTGATTAAACAATACCATTTGAAAAGAGCCAGGAAGAAGATTTTTTTTGTCACAATGGCTGCCCTCTGGAACAGCATTCCCCCAGAGATCTGTATGGGCTATTCCTTCATGGAAATGGGCTTCAGAAAACCTAGTTCTTCCCCCAAGTCTTGGACTCAGGCTATTGTGAGCTTCTTGTGGGAATTTTTTGTATTCAGGTTCTCCCTCAGTGTTTACTGATTTTTTTTTCTATATGCTATATTGTTTTGAGCTGTTTTTAATACTGAAATCCACCAGAATTGTTATGGGAAATCTTAGAAATCTGATAGATAAATAAATAAATAAACAAACAAACAAATAAATAAATTCACCTTATATTAGCTATCCGAATTCATATTCCCCTGACTTTTCTGAAAGCTATTCATTCATTTTGCATTTCTCTCTCAGTGTATGGCTCTATACTTCTTCGTAAGATCTCAAGAAAAACATTTGTAAGAAATTAGCAAAATGTTTTGGTAATTTGCACATTATTCTGCATCCTCCTTCTTTGATCTACTCATATACAGGGATATTTTCCAGTTTCTTTTGTGACTTGTCTGTAATATTCCTGATGAAGTTATACATTTTTCTCATGTAAAAGAATTTGCATTTTTTTTAAAGACAGCCATTTAAGGAGCTTGCTTGCTAAGTACAGTATTTTGTTTCATGCAAATAGTGTAGAAAGTATTGTTTTGGCATGCTAACTAAAGTCATTCATGGAAAGAAAGAGATACATGACCTAAAAGGGAAAAATTTGCATGCCCTTTCCATATACCTTCCTTTAACCTGCTAATATTTTGCCATACTCCATCACGATTGTTGTTCATTCAAGCCATTTTTAGCTTCTATCTGACAAAAAATTATGGGCATTAGTTTACATATTTGAATCCTCCCTCACTTTAATTGCTACTGTGTGTTCTACACATGTGCAAAGGGCAAAAATGAAAGTGAGTTGCTGTTTAGGTTTGAATAATCTCTGAAAGAGAATAGCAGCTCTCCGATCCAGTTGTGGGAAAGAGATAATACTGTGCAGAATGTTGGAAAGCTTCATCTACATATAAATAGACTTAATCAGAAATGCAAATAGCAATTGGGAGAAATGGTAAAAAGCCCCATGATAATTGTGTGATTGTACAGATAAGAAAAGGTCAAATATTCCCATTGTCTAAGGTTTTAATTTTCTAATTGCCCGTGGGTATCTTTTCTTCTGAAAGCGGAATACAAAGTGACAGACTATACCAACTGACAATCAGTTCAAAGCAAATGCTTCAGAAAGGCTGTTTGTTATAAAAGTCCAGCAATTAATTCATACTTCACAATTGTAATGCCTTGTCTTTTGCTTCCTGCTAGGAGAAGCAGACTAAAAAAATCTTATGGAAAAAAGTATAGGTTCCTTGTAGTTTCAAGTATGCTTAGAATATAATATCTTATTTTCTGCATGAAAATAAAAGAAACAAGATAGAAACAATAGATGCTGCTGATCCGGCATACTTAACAGCTTCTATTTGAACCATTCAAACTTTCTTCTTTCAGAAAATAGCCCATTAAAACATTGTGTTTCTAGAGAATAATCTGCCCTTGTTGGGAAACAAATTATTTTTGAAATGAAAAGTGGTTTACAAAAGCTAAATAAGCAAATCATATTTTTTAAAAAAAAACTCAATAGTAAAAATCCAAATATTCTTTTTCTAAAAAATCTCACTGTTTATAGGCAGACCTCCTCCACAGTAGCATTCATTTCCACATATCTTTCAATTAACGTAATGTAAGATGTAATGATGCACCAAATAGGTATTTTCACTGTTGAATTGCTGTTGTCAGCCTAAGCAAGATCCAGTAAGCTAAGAGAGCCACCTAGTGCCCTACCTTGGGATCTTAAAAAGGGTCTTCACAGGATGCATGTCAAACAAAGGTGGATCTCCGTCACCAAGTTCAATAGCCGTGATCCCAAGAGACCACACATCACAACGGGCATCATAAGAATAGTCATATTGTTGTTCACAAGCAATGACCTGTTAGATAAAAGACAATGAGCACACAACATTAACCTTTGAGATAGTAATGTCCCCATTAAGTATGAATTATACACATACCAGTGTCCATTCATATATTTCTTATTATAGTTACAACTTAAATGCTCAACTAGCAGCCCTACTATTTAATATTATCCACAAAATGCGGTTCGTGGAATTAAATTCATGATGCTGAACATTACAAGAAATTATAGCAATTGAAATAAGTTCTGTAGTTATTCATTACATTTCCATTTTAACAGGCATTATCTTCTATCCCTATTACTTACATGTATGTAAAGGATAAGGAAAGTGTAGCTTTTCTATAAGTATTTATTATTGATCTATACCAAAAATGTGAGATCACAGGTGCCAGTTCTTTAGCTGGTGTTTAGCTGGAGTAGTAGTATATTATTTTGAATGTATTAACATCCTAGTTTCCTATAATAATTGATCACCAACAAAAGAACAAAAAGACTTGTGGTATCTTGAAGACAAACACATTTATTATGATGTAAACTTTTATGAATCATACTTCATTTCAGCACTGCTATGGAGAATTAAGCTAAGAAAAATATATCCATGCTCATAATTGAGAAGGCAAAATAGTATATAGCCCTTATTTTTATATTTTGGCTCTTCTTTCTAATATCACTGACGTTATTTCAAGAAGTCACAGTACAGATGGAACTCACTTAGAGAGTGTTAAGCTGGAATATCCTGGAAGAAATGACCTTTGTAACAATGGATGTAGATAGACAATAAAGTTTTAGTTCTCCCACATGATGTTCTCTGTCAAAAAGGGCACATAGGATAGTATAAAATTGTGGTTTCCAATTCAACATTAGCAAGTGGGATTTACAGTAAAACCAAATCCTGCTCCAGCCACTGAGACTTCCTCTCCTTCAGACTATGCCATTATATGGCCCTCCTGTGGTTTTCCACATTTTCTCCCAATAGTCACGCTTCATTTTCTGCCTATAGAGAATGCTATTTCAGATTTTCCCCATCCATAAATAAATTGCTAAGTTAAATGTAATTCTATAAATTTCAAGATTCTTCTTGATATTTCCTTCTTATGAGTTGGGGAAACATTTTCTATTACATAAATCTAATTTATAGACAGAAACGTCAGTTCACTAGTAGTATGTATGACAGATAAGCACAATGAGAACAATCTATAAGAAAGAGAAAGTGGACAGCAAATCTAATTAATCAAGCCATAAACAAATTAATATATGCACAGTTTAAAAGACTTCCTCTTTTGGGAGGAGAAAAGGGGGGAAATGGCTAAGTTAGCACTTTGAATTGAAGAGCTGTCTAAACAAACACTCCACAACTTTAGAAAAGGCAATTGTTAATACAGCAGTTATCATCCTGGACACACCTCAGGAGAAAAGAAAGAAAGAAATGGAGATGTACATAGAGAGAAAATGCTTCCTAGACTCAAGAGTGGTTGAGATGGGTCTGCTAAGTTGAAAAGTGGGGCTACTTAAGCTTCAGAAGAATCTAGAGGAGTTTTTGTTGTTGTTAAGAAATTATACAAAATCACAAGTCACCATTCAGACCAACCTTGCCCAACTTTAGGCCTTCAATGAATAGTAGGATTATAACTCTTAGGGCCTTTTTCCACTGTTATTTTGAAAGACTTTCCACCCAACTTTGACCTGAACAGAAATCTCCATCAGTATAACATTTGTTGCCCTCATAGTCACTCTCTAGTTTACCTCCACTGCTTGTAGTACAGGTCTTTGCAGCCAGGTAATGTAAGATAAGGTAAGGTAAGGTAAGGTAAGGTAAGGTAGGGCAAGGCAAGGCAAGGCAAGGTAAGGCAAGGCAAGCAATGAAGCTGGACAAATGTTATACTCCTTTCGACTGCTTTTGGATGGCTTTTGAGTAAGGGAGGAAATGCTAATTTTAGCACTGGCACATTCTAAAGACAACCTGTCTTCCTCTGATCTGGGATGAGACAAAGGCAGTGATGCGGATTTGGCATTGAAAATATGTTTTTTGGGCCATGGTTTTTATTTATTTTCTACACTTCTTAACCCTCAGAGGTGATTAGATGGGTAGAGGTAAATGGGGGAAGGGTCTCACAATTCTTCTTAGGAAAAGCTGGTTTATCTTTACAACAATTTTAATAATCCTAATTTATTAAAACTCTCTACTCGTTACAGGAATCAACATTTTACTTTTCAACACCACTTTCAGTAATGTAATATCAAAAAGTCATATAATATCGATGCGTGTATGTACACATCTTACAGTACAGTCGTGGCAATGGAAATAAGGCTTACATGGACTGATGGTTAATGATGAGAGAGAATTGGAAATTAGCATATAGACTGATACAAAAACAAGAAGAGCCTGGTGCCAGACGGCCCATAATGGAGAGGTATAAGTACTTTGCAAGGTCCGAATCTCAAGGAGAATAGTTCCAAAGTGCAGACAGCACACAATGGCGCAAATGATCCTTCAAACATTTTGCAGTGCATCAAATCATAAAGATGTGGATTGGGCTCTAGAAGGCAAAGAATATACATCCCACATTCTGTAAGCCTACAGATATCAAAGATGGAATGCTATGATTGGGGAGCAGGAGGGTTTTTTTCTATGTGAGCCAGTTAACTGGAAGGAAGCTGGAGGTGTAAAGAGCTATGCATTCTGAGGGAAAGATTTCCGCCTTCATGAGGTTAATAGCCAAGTAGCTGATGAAATATGGCAGCTTAAAGGAAAAAATGAATTGACATACATTATAATGTGCAATGTATATTACGGAGAAAAATCAATCAATTCTGACAATATTAAATTCTTATACTCACACTAAGAAAAGCAGCACAACTAGCCAAAGTAACTAGATACAATGGTTTGTCAAAAACTTTTGGTTTCCATCAATTTAATTTCATTTACTCATAGCACCTAGGGAGTATTCTATATGTTTTCTCAACCACAGTGGGCAAAAATGGACGCTATTAATAAAAGTTCTTTAAAAAGACGGTTGACCTGCTAATAAAACTATCTTCGTATTTCTAGTCTGTATGAATTCCAGGGTGCTGTAAGAACAGCACTCTCCAACCTTTCCATCTTTGTGGATGAGCGGGGGGGGGGGGGAGAGGGGATGGTTCTGGATGAGTGGCTGGTGAGTGCACATAGCTCCATTTGCACAAGCAGTAGGCATGCGTGCCTGCCCTTGCACCAAGTGTAGCTGAACACACATGCGTACTCACCCACCCTCTGCACATGCAAATGTAGTTGCACGTACATGCGCACTTACCCACCAATTCTGTGCCCCAGTTCTGAATGGGCTGTGGCCCAGGGATTGGGGACCCCTGCTGTAGAACTTATTTGAGTGACTGAAGAGGTGCTGTCTTTTGCTTTCCTATAAAAATTCCAGGATGCTTGACATTAAATTTAATATTAAAAGTTGGAGAGAAACTACAATGAGCTTTCTGTTTTCAAACTCTAATTAGAAATAAATGGTTTTTAATATAGGAAGTAAACAGGGGATGGGGGGGAATCGCCAAAAGCTGTCTATCTTGGGCTGATCTGAAAATGATATTCAGGATCAAATCTGATATTTAAATTAGAGATCACCAGGAAACCTGTAGGCTAGACCGAGAAATTGAAAAAAGATCCAAAAGAAGCCAATGACAAAGAAGATATTTACCATTACAACCCTGACATAACAGTGCATTGGCTGAGGATTAGTTCTTAATCCTCAATTAATGTCTTAATTCTTATCTTTGTCCAACATTGAATCACCATTTTATATATTTTCACTGTGTGTGACAATTTTCAGATACTAAAATTATTAAACCACCCCACTTCTAATAGAAAAATATAAGAATTATAACCTTGGACTAAATACAGGAAATTTCCTTAAATTTCTCGGTCATTTCTAAATAGAAAAGTCAATTATTATTGATGTATAAATTGTTTGTTTGTGTTTAATGTTTGAAGTTTAGAGCAGCGTTTCTTAAAACTGGCAAATTTTAAGATATAGGAACTTATCATGTGGAGTTACTGTACATGGAAGGCTGGGAAATTCTGGGAGTTGAAGTCCCCACATCTTAAAGTTAGCAAGTTTGAGAAACACTGGTTTAGAGCAGTATTTTTGTGGGCAATATTTAATTATTGTGAGAGGCATAAAAGTCAGAAGAAGGTAGTGGAGGGTGAATATTAAAAACAAAAACAAAGTAATAAATATACTTGCTGCCTAGTGTAAAAGTTGTACACATAATCCAGAGTACCAGGCAGACAGTTCTGGGGCAGACTCAGTAGAATATGTGAGGCTCTGGGAATCAAACCCAAAAGGCTGATTAGGAGTTTCAGAATCAAGCAGTACTGATTTAATCCAGGTTTTGAAATGAATGAGAGGGAGAATGCATAACTGGAAACTATAATGGCTGTTTAATTGCAGCGAGGTCTCAGTTCATGTATTCCAAAGCTCCACTTCCAAACTGAATCCAAAACATTGCACAGCCATCAGCAGGCGCTGCAAAGTAGTTCTTTCTGAAATGCCACTTGTTCCATAGACAAGGCCAACTCTGGCAGACAAAACTGAAGGTCCCTCATGCAGAAATGAAAAAAAAAATCAAGTGGAAGAACTTAAATTGGTTAGGGAGTGGGGGATAAGCTGACCCTCTGCAAAAGAAAGGATTTACTTGAAGCAAAATAGGGCTAGACTCTTAGCACTCAACAAAAGGGTGATTATTTGATTATCAAGGGTGTTGAGTTTGATTATTTACAATTTATTAAACAAATACCTACACTACATTCCATCAAAATAGGTTAGCAGCCAAACAAGCTTATATGTCAGATCCTTGCCTGAATATATTGTCTGTCCGCTGGCAGAAGAATAACATAGAGTAAACTAATCTGGTCATTCCCTGTTCTTGGCAGGGAATGCCAAATCCTTAGAAAATAGCACCAGAGGAGAGCCATTCCCACCAAACAGACCTGAGATGACAGTGTGATTTAGACCCTTTCAACACAAGTGA